CATGGATACTTGTCAAACTCTTCTAAGTCTTCGGCCAACTTCAAATAGCGCATGTCAATAAGCACATGCTTTTCAGTACCCAATAGCACAAAAATGGCAAAATAGACCATTCCAAGCTTTAACGCATCGTCATCATCTGTGCACTCAATGAAGGCAGTGTGTAGGTCCAAAAGGGTGGGAGGTTTATTGCTACTGAAGTATTTTCGCTTCAAGGAGCAGTTTTCATTTGTCGCCTTCGGAATGAAAGGGAGCTTTCCGAACCTTAGGCCCGTGATGAGGCAAAAGTGTTGGGCTGTGAATTGTATCAACTTGTTACCCACAATGAATTTTATCCCGTTCACCTGTGTAACTGTCTTAGGATCAGCTTTCCTCATCAACAGCCCGTGGACAACTTGTGAATTCCACTTCAGGTCCTCTATCAGTAATAGATGACCAAAACAACTCCCCTCGAACCTCTGTAACTGCTGCGTATTGAACTTCGCCTTTATTGTTGTAATGGCAGTCCTTGCGTGTGAAAGGGCAAATGGCTTTCCTTCGTACTTCTCCTCCTCATGAATCATAAGCTTTGCTTTACAAGCCATTCTAGAGTTCCCTGCACAACAACATCATACATATGGATCATTGGTTACCCATATTTCATACGTACATTACTCAAACTAATACTTTCAAGTCATTTAATATATGTATATACATATGACAAAACCAGAATTGTTTTGAAGCCTCTTTTCTACTCTCCAACTCTCTCCACACTCTGCTGTTATCTACATTCCCTTCTACAAAATCTATATTCAATTCCATCCAAAAACCAAATACCACCCAAGTGTGAAAACAAGTTCATGAACCACGGATCCACTTCATACAGGGTTTTGGCGAAATGGCTACAACAATTACTCCAAATGCATCAATGCGTACTAAAATCTACTCATTACCATAGTCATATACATGTCTACTCATGGAACATCAGTATTGGCAGTTATGGACTCTGTGTACAAACTAGACACGTCAAAATGT